GAGCATTCCATTTGTATTTCTTTCTAAGAGTGATTTCTACATAGATGTTAACTACTGTTTTAGTGTGAGCACGGCTGAGTCCCAGTGTAGCACTGTAGGATAATCACTGGACAGCTCACACACCAACCACTTCTTAGAAACACTATACAGAGTGGCTATGAGTCAGAACTGACTTGATGGCACTTAACAATAAGGGTGACACCCACTACACATCTATCAGTTCCTCCTACTGTGGTACAGAAAAACTCAAAATGAGATAAGCTGCAAACAACCATTATTAATCAGAAAATGGGATGTACAAAGTATGAATCCAAGAAAATTGGAAGTCATCAAAAATGAAATGGAACGCATAAAGATTAAATGCCAGTGATCTACAGCAGGCAAGTACATTGTGAAACAGACAATCATGATTTACTATGCCAGGAATGACAAATTCAAGAGGAACAAATGGTGCATTCATCATCAGAAAAAACATTGCAAGATCTACCTTGAAGTACAAAGCTGTCTGTGATAGGATAATGTTTATACACCTACAAGGAAGGCCAGTTAATACCACTATTATTAAAATGTACATACCAGCCACTAAAACCACTAATTATGAAATTGAATTCTACCAAATCCTTCAGCCTGAAATAGATCAAACAATGAAATCAAGATGCATTAATAGTTACTGGTGACTGGAATGCAAAAACTAGGAAGAAAGAGGAAGAATCAGTAGTTGGAAATTGCAGCCTTGGTGATAGATAGGATGCTAAAGATCAAATGACAGAATTTTGCAAGACCAATGACTTCTTCATGGCATATACTTTTTCTTAACAATGTATATGGTGACTATATACGTGAACCTCACCAGATGAAATAGTAAGAATCAAATTGACTGTATCTGTGGAAGGAGAAGCTCAAGATCATCAACTAAACATGGCCAGGGACCAACTTCAGAACAAACCATCAATTGTTCATATGCTGAAGGTAAGAGATGAAGAAAATTAAAATAAGTCTAAAACCAAAATATGACCTTGAGTATATTCCACCTGAATTTAGTGACCATCTTAAGAACAGGTTTGATGTATTAGACACTAATAACTAAAGACCAGAG